ATCTCATATGTGGCTGTCTGATCGGGTTTGAAGGAGCACTCGGGGATATGGCTCATTTTTTTTCAAAATAGGTTTCCGTTCATTGTTTGCTTTATTTTCTTTCATTGCATATTGTCATTAATTATTTGATGAGATAAAAATACTCTTCTAACTTTTTTGTATAGATTTTTTGGTGTGATTTTTTTAAAATATGAATTTTATTATTTTTAACTTTTCATTAATATTTAAATAAATTGAATTAAAAATAATTTAAAAAAAGTTAGAGTACTCAATTAAAAAGAAATGCCTACATTAGACCCCTATAGAGTAGCTGTTGGGGTCAGATGCCAAACAGAGGTTAGGTAACTGGAGAGCACAAGTGCCAGTGAGATTTAATGAATAAAAATTAATACTCCTTCCGTCCCTAAATATTCACAACATTTGTTTTTTCAGTAGTGTCGGAAACTTTTGTTTATTTCGACGTTTTCATTGATTATTTGATAAAATAAAATATTCTTGACACCTCTCATTTCGAAGAACTTTTCATGTAGTTTTTTTATATGTAAATTTTATTTTTTATTTCTTTACCAATATGTAAATAAAATGAATTAAAAAAATTTGATATTTTGCTTCGGAAATACTAATGTGGCAAATAATTTGGGACGGAGGGAGTATAGTACTACTGGTTTTACAGTGTTTAATTCATTTTGTGGTCTCAAATCTGAATCAATGCCCTCATCGATATGTTGTGACCTCAAATCTTGCGCCCTCTTCAAGTCTTTGACAAAGCCAAGGTATTTACTACGTCCGTCCTTAGGATATTTATCAACATTTGATTTTCTTTCAATCAAGATTAGCAAATTTTGACTACAAAAATAAATAAAAGTAATATAGATATTGATGCAAATTTTTTTTTATTAGATTTGTTTTTTAAAATATTAGAAAAATATGATCCTACCTAATTAATATATCTCATGTATTTTATTTAATTGTAAATTAAAAATAAAAATAGTCATCGACCCATATAGCATTAAGGATGTATAATAATAAAATATCGTGGTGAATAAATCCACTCCCCAACACCCATCTGAATTTATTAAGTTGAAAGAGAAATCGTGTGAGTCGCATACTCATTATGAAAGCAGAAAATAATATAATTAGAATTTTTTTAGAGGCGTTAATGTAATTAATGTAGATAATTTTTTCAGACGAATAAATATTTTAAATTATGTAAAAGTTTAAATGAGTATTTGAAAATAAATCACCTAAAAAAAATGAGTAAAGTTTATAAAAAGTACTCCTAGCAAAATAGGAGCTTCATTTTTCGTTCCTTAAATAAGATTTTACATTACGACAATGTGACATTGTATATTAATATTCTACATTGTTTTTTTGATATTATATGTTGATATTATTGACATTGTAACTTCTCTTTTAAAAATAAAATTATAAAACTCTTATTTTGATATTTTACGAGAAAAAGACTAAAGTAAGAGTAAAACATTAAAAAATATATCAAAATAAGAGTTGTATGTTTTTATTCTCGAAATAGGAGTTAAAATACTTTTACATTATCAATCATGACTAAATACATTACGTAAAATGTACATATACAGTGTCACATTACTACAGTACGAATTCCTATTTAGAGATTAAAAATATAAAACTTCTATTTTAGTATTCATCAAGGTTCCCATGACATGGGAACCAATGTCATGGAAACCTTTTCCTTTAGTATTTTATCTATATTTTAGTCCTATTTAAGATGATTTATTACGGAGTATATTTTATCTAAAATTTACTCTTATTTTAATTTTTTCCTAAATTTAAAAATACCAAAGGGAAGAATTATTTATTATTGTCAGAGTACTATGGGTCCCTATTATACCACTTTCAACTCAAACGTTCATAGTGAAAACCACAGGAAATGTTTATCGTTACTCAATTCTAAATTTTTTTAAAAAAATAAAGTTTGTCTATTCTTCAAAAAAAAAGTAAAAAAAAAAAACAAAAAGTCCTACATTCCCGGCTCGAGGAAATTTGTTTTACTCCAAAAGTCCTAATGTTGGAATGCTTCTTATCTTTTAGTGATTCTACCCATTTTTTCATCATTTTCATTGCATCCCCCTCCCTAAAAACTTTTCATTGATAGAGAGTAATATTCAGGTTTTTCTATGACTTTTATTTTCTTATATGTTTTCATTGAAATTTTGTAGAACTTTTGAAGTCAGTTTTTTAACATGCTAATTAATTTTTAATCCTATACTAATTTATAAAAAAATAAATTTAAAAGTCACAGAATTTTGCACATTGTTCGAGTAGTAATCTCATTTTTCTACTTATCTCTTAACTTTTCTCACATTACTTTAATAATTTTTCATATTTTTATTTTTTTAATGGCGGGTGAGCAGGTCCCACATGTTATTAATTATTTCCTCTGTTCTCAAAACACTTTCTCTTTCATTTTTTCACTTCCAACAAAACACTTTCACTTTTTATGAAAAACTACTTTTTCGCTTACATTATCATACTCTACCTAGCACATCATACTTTTTCTCTAATAATCTATCCATCACTTTTTATGAAAAACCACTTTTTCGCTTATATTTCCTCTGTTTTATTTTTGTACAATCAAATTAGGCAAACTTTAATCAACTAAATAAAATCACTCAGGGTATGTATATTGTGATACATGTTGGTACAGAGGTAACTTAATTAAATTTATTTTTGTTAGAGTCTATCCCACATCGCAAGTTGGATAGAAAAATAATCAGTATATAAGTTCTTGAGCTGAACTAAGTAATCGGTTAGATTTAATCTTTTAATGTGGTTCAACCCAAGTGTCTTATTACACAATCAAGTTATCCTTACCTCATCCTGATGGTATCAGAGCAGGTTTTAGTCCACCCCATTTGTCAAGGTATTCGTCTAGATGTTCATTTTTAGCGATCCGATTATCTTTAGCCCAGTTGTCTGTATGGAGTATGTACCAAATGATTCGTGGCCCGTTTAACCCGATTGCTCATCTGGAAGTTCATACCCAGCATATCGTGGTCCTTTAGGTGTTGGCCCTCAAAAAAATCAAGGAGATGAGAATCTATTTACAAGTGGTCAACTAGTTAGATTCAAAATGGACTAGTTATCCTCTTGGGGGCCAGGAAGAGTTAGAGTCTATCCCACATTAGAAGTTGAATAGAAAAATAATCGGTATATAAGCTCTTGAGTTGAACTAAGTAATCGGTTGGATTCGATCTTTTAATGTGGTTTAACCTAAGTGTCTTATTACCCAATCCAGTTATCCTTATCTCATCCTAAATTTTATCAATATTGTATAATATTTTACAAAAATGTTTGATCTTACATGTTACGAGTATTATTTTACCATATGATTTTTATTTAATTAATATAGAGGGATTATATTTTTAAAGTCTTAATAATTTTTGTCCAAAACAAGTTTTATTCACCACTTTTTAATAAAAATTACAAACTAATACGGTAAAGATATTTTGACATTACAAAATATGATATTGAAATGACACAGACATTTACGGTGTTCCGTTGGTAAAATTGATGTTTCTTACCTACTAAATCCCCCTCGCAAATTTGACACTACAGAAGTGGGTGCATAGGAATTAATCGGGTAAGAACTATTAATTTTACCAACATAGTATCGTAGTGCTCGTACCATTTTTATGTCAAAAGATCCAATCTCAAAAGATTTAGTGTGCTAACTAGACTATGGTGCCACTGAGATTTTGGGGCTCCTACGATTTCCTTATCGTAAAATTCATAACTCTTACGACCTTAAGTTCCTGGTAAATGCACCCATCCGGCCCAACTTGAATCCCATGTTGGTGATTTTAGTGTATCGATTAGTTTATGTAATTGTATTTACTTAAACCACACAAAATGAGTGTCCATTGAACCTAGCCAATCAAAAGAAAGACGCTAATATAGTACGCACTCCACTTTTCCCTTATACCAAGTGATGATGTAAATTACCTAACCGGGTAAATAGTACTAGATCGGGTCTAGAATTGTTTACTAAATTTAGAAAAGTAAAAGGTAAAAACACTCAAAGTAACCGGGAGGACTGTAGGTGGAACACCTGTAGCCCAATTAATATTATGAATATAGTAGGACGTACGGGAGCTTTTACACAGGAGTTTTAGAGAGAAGAAATCAGATCCCTTCATTTGAGGGTTACACAAATATTTATGGTAGCTAAAGGAGACAAGACGCCGCACATCCACGTCAGGGCACGTTCCTGGGTGGTGCGAGGTGACTTCCTCTGTCCTCTAGCCACCTTGTCACCAAGTGAGGAAGGTGCCTTTTTTGTCGTGTAGTATTCTGGACTGATTATTCAAGTATATGATTCTCCATTGATCATGGTTGCTACAGTCCAAGCTCCTTTGGATTCTTTTTTGCCGACACTTTCTAACCCTAGAAACCATACCGGGTGGTTCCTAAGGGATGGATTTACTGAAAATGGAGATGAATGGGGGAATAAAGTAGTTTGACCGGTAGACTTTCCGAAGTGTACCGGTCAATCCTCTGATCACCCAAACACCTTTTTACTGTTGTTTTAGGCTTCCCACTCAAGAAAATCAACTTGACCGGTTAACTATTTGAACGTCTCTTTTGACCGATTTTGGATGGAATACACTCATCACCAAGCACATTTTGTCTATTTAATTTAATCAAGTTTTATGTTCCTTTGAAAAACGATGTGCACTACTCTATATAAAACTTCTATAGAAAATTTGACTTTGCACGCTCATGATACCCTAGACTGTCCCAACACACTTCTACAATGCATTTTAGATGCACCTGAAAATACTTCCATTTTCTCACATTAGTAAATTAAGAAGAAAATTAAATAAATAGTCATTATTATACTTTATTTCAATTTTTTTTAGCATGCATCTCATATCTCACTCCACCTTACATATATCTTATAGCATTCGGTATTGCTCAATGTTTGTAGAAATATGTGAAAAGAGAGGTAAAAATTGGAATAAGAGTTTGAATAACTTTCATTTTCCTAGAATTATACAAACTTGGATGGCAGTTGAATGTTAATGAAGAAACTTGTCCACTTAGAGAGCACAAATTAAAGAAAGAATGTGAAAAGAAAACTTGCATTCATAAAATATACCGCACCAAGAACAAGAAATCTTCAAATGGTCTATCCAAATATTTCCAAAAACAGCTGGCCCATAAACAGACAAACCAAAATTACAAGATTGCATCTCTCAGTTGTCTTCTTCTGCAAATTACACTTCTGAGATTAATGGCAGCAGTTAATATTATAATGTTCCCACAATCAATCTTGGAGCCAATAGTAAAACAGCAAATACTAACCCACAAAAAAAACTAAATAAAAAAGGACATTAGTTAGAGGAAGAGAAGAAGAGGAAGACACAAAGAGTATAGGAAAGGCTAACACTTGTTTTGGAGAACACATCTCTCATAAAGAGCAACAATATCCTTCTTGTTAGGGTTCTTCAGTTGGAGCAGCTCAGCACCAAAGTTGTGTTTGGTAAGCTCTTGTTTAAGTTTCTGGATAGTGAACTTGGTATAGTCCTCTGTAGTTGTCGTGGCTGTCTGCTGCGGGCTCTCGTCCTCTTCAACAGACCCCCTGTAAACCGAAGCATCGTCGTCTGGGGGGGACCCCCCAAACTTTAGAGGACTAGTAGTGCTCTTCGCTCTCTTACTAGCCCTCCTTGTGTCCTGTACTGAGTCCACTCCTCCCCCTGTTTCATTGCCTCTCCCCCGTTTTCCGGTTCTCAGTTTACTGTCAAGTGCTGACTCATTCAATCGGACTGTTGTCATTTGTTGCTGAAGAAGGTCCAGTTTTCCTTGTGTGGATTGAAGTTGTAGAGACAAAGCTTCTGCCCTGCTGTTTGCTTCGGCCCTTGCAGCCCGTTCGGTCTCCAGCAAACTCTCCAAAACCTGAACAGTGCTGGCCCTCTGTTCATTGTTTGATTTCAGTAGAGATTCAATCTCTTTTTCTCGTTCTTCAACTCTGGCCTCGAGGATTGAGACCTTTGACAGGGCATCCTCTTCGGCTGACCGGTGCCTGACCACCTCCTGGGTCAGGTCAGATATCTCCCTTTTCAGGTTCTCTACATGCCTATCAGCCCTCTCCAGCTTAGCCAACCTCTCCATTGCTATCTGTTGGATGTCGCTCCGCTCCTTGTGGGCCATGGCAGCTTCGGATCTCGCCTTGTCTGCGAGTTCGGTTGCTCTCTTTGCCTCTGTCTCGGCAGATTTGCACCGTTTCTGGACATCCTCGAACCTCTCAAACTCCGTTTGGTACTTCTGTTCCAAGTGGAGTTTCTCTTGTTCCAGAATTCGAGCCTCTCTTTCAAATGACTGTGCAGATGCACTGATGTTCTCTATCCTCTCACCCAGATTCTTTATTTCATGCTTCAATGATGAAACTTCAACATCATAGTTCTTTATCTTCGATTCGGCAGCCTGAGAATATTTAAGTTTAAAATCAAGAACAATGACAAACTAGATAGGGCATAAATGAATTAAAGTTGTGTTATGCACACAAATTAATAAACCCTTTAATGATGAAACTAAAAGAATTATTTTAATTAAAGAGTAAAGTATGTTACTTCTTTTATAATAAAAAAATGTTACTTTAATTATTTAAATAGGGCTCAGAAAAAACCACCTCCACACATTCTCTCCCACTTCTTGTTTCCCTAAATCTACCCAAACAAAAAGGTGTAATTGACGTTATTGCAAGCTAAATCTTGACAATGGTCCAAAGATGGAAATTCAAAAAACTGTCTGATCAAGCACAAAATGTGCCAGAAAGATTACAGAATCTCACCTTCAGTTGCACACTGAGAGTTGCCAAGTGTTGCTCTGCCTTTTCAAGCTTTGACGCCTTATCCTTAACTTCATCATCCTGAAGTTGAGGATAATAAAGAAGAAATGAAACATAATCCAGTTAAGGCCAAAAAGTATGCATATATACACTAACTAAATTACCTTCTTAGCCAGGGTAAGGGAAAATTCTTTCCTCAAAGCCTCTTCCCTAGCATGGGTTTGCTTGTTGGTACGCTCTTGGACAAGCGCTGCCTTCTCAAGAGCATTTTTTGCATCCCTAGCAGCACTATCAAATTTTCGCTTCCACTCATCGGCCTCTTCTTGAGCAGATTGAGATTGTTCTTTAGCAGCAGCGACTCTTGCTTCAGCAGCTGATGTTCTCGACCGGAGAATTGCAATCTCTGCATTTGCCTGATCTTCTTCAGCCTTGAGCTTTGACAACACTGTCTCATACTTTCTTTTCCATTCCAAAGACTCCTGCTTGGCAGAATCCACCGTTTTTGACAAGCTGAAACATCTCTCCTCCAACGAACTGCAACTGCTCTGCAAGGTGGTTATACGGCTCATGTAATCATCTGAAATTTTCTTCTTGTCATTGATGGCGTCCTCATAGCGCTTCAGATATTCAGACTTGTACTTCTCGCTGGCTTCCAACTGTTTGTTCATCAAACTCATTCGATCCTCAATGGAACGGCACTTCAGTGCAAGAGAAGTCTTCTCTGATCTGATTTGGTCTATTTGTTTGTTGGTGAGATCTAACAGAGGGCCTTCCAGACTGGATTAAAAAACCCAAAGTTGAGAATTGAGAATCTAAACAGGCACTTAGGTGAGAGTACTTTTTGGGTGGATTACCCTCGAGGTTTGCTTAGATTATAAAATGGTCCCTGTTGTTTATACAATTTACAAAAAACTCTTTGACTAGTTAAATTATCCATGAATGACAACTTCAACACTGAAATATGATACGGAGTATAATATATTGACGTCCACTGAAACTTGTATTTTCTATTGCATCTTATCTATTAAAATGATTATGTATTTTCGAGAGAAATTTTTTTGGGAAAAATTATAGGAATAAATTAGTATGAAATGTCAAGAGGTGTAACTTAAAATTTTCAAAAACCATTGGGATCATTTAGTAATTTGGCCAACCCTCAAGGGAAGTAGATGTAATTAACCCTATTTGTTTTTTAAAGAGAAACACCAATACAAACCTCTGCTGTAAGAAAACAATAAGTTTTCTCCATTTTTCTGGACCATGAGTTGAAGCTTCATAATTTGATACTAGACGATCAAGCACCTGAATTATAATAGCAGAAAATATTTCAGGTCAGGCAGCCATTGTATTTTAAAATATAATAGCAGAAAATACTTTACTCAGACAGCATATAAGGCATGGAAGTTACTTTAAGTACAGCGTCTATTTTTGCATCAGGAACATGACAAGCCATTCTGAGTTCCTTTTCCATGTCTTGTATGGCATTTGANAAATCGATAATCCACAAGTGAACATCGAGGTGGAGTTTGATGACCATTTCTAGGAAAAAACAAGCACTCAGTGCATGAAGTAGCTCAGGTGGCTCATCAAATATGCATTCACTTAAAATCTTAATGGAAAAAGAGCAGTTAATTGCAATAGACTACCTCGAATGCCCTTTTGATGAAGCTCTGAAGACGCTTATCATACTTTTGCCTGATTGATCCAGCCCCTACAGCAGTAGCATTAAATGCAGCCATTGACTTTTGGACCGCATCTTCATGTGCTTCTCTCAGTGCAGCCTAAAATCACATAAACATTATTAGCAATAGCACAGGATTAAGGTATCCTTTTATGTTGCACTACTTACTTCCTCAGGAGGTGTGGACCGATTGAAAGAAGACATGTATGCCTCAGCACCTAGGTCATAGGCTCTTTGACACTCAGCTTCCTCAACACTCTACAGTAATGAACAAAATTCAACTTAGAGAAGCGAAAAAAATCACATGTTGGGAAAAAATTAGGAACCTTAGTACTTCAACCCATTTCGCAAGTGACTTTTTAATTTTAAACTATGTAGGTCATGTTGGGCAGATCAAAACTTAAAACTCACTGTTGAACCAGAAACAGCTTGAAGCACATCTAAATCTAACGACATTAATTTACTTATTAAAAACTCATCTACAAATTTTAAATTTTCTTTCCTTAACATTTCAAAAGTAATCAACCTTTTTTTAAAATGTTAATTTCTTATACTTGGAGAGAACAGATAGTTTTCTCATTTTAACTCCATCCAAAATATAGCATTGACAAAATTTGAGTGGATTTAGACCAAAACTTTTTTGCCCAGGAGCTATTTAAACCAATTCCACATATGCATTGTGTAAGTGTGGTATTGATGATAATATGAAACTCACCTGCCATGAAGATGTAATTGTCGGCACAGCACCATTATTTAGTGCATCGAGAAAAGACTGAGTAATTTGGGCAAAGATGGGTCCTGTCATTACTGTTGCACCGACTTGTTTGGCCCTGGTCCTCTCAAAGACAAATCTTGTCAACGCATCAAGACCTGCTTTAAATTCTGGCCGGAGTTTATCTAACTGCAAGAGGAGGGTGTAGAAACATTATGTGCTGGCATAATTGAGCTAGACACAGTAACACCTACTCAGATGTGAGGGTAAGGAACTTACAGATATTTGATCAAGCTTTTGCAACTCGGTTTCATTGCTCAAAGGTCTCACAAGAGTAAAGCACTCTCTGTCAGGAAAAAGAGCACGAATTGACTCTCTAATCTGCAACAAAAAGTATTAAGTAGTTCAGAGTTTAGACATCAAGAAGAGAAGTGTCTTGAGATGAACTTCTCATAAGGAGGGAAATAAAAAAGTATTAAGTAGTTCTCATAAGTGTCTTGAGGGAAATACTATCTCATAAGAGCAGGGAAATCAAAAGATATATCCTCCTTTGGGAGAGTGTCTTCAAATGAAATACCTCATTCTTGGATGCTACATCTCTACCACCACCTTGAACTGGTCTCAATGCAAGCTCCAAGTAATCTCGTGGTGTTATTTTCCTATTATCCTCAGTTAAGTCCAAGTAAAAATCCTATTCATAAAAACAGCACAAGTAATTTATAATAGGTTTCAGAAGGTATCACTACCACTGAGAAATTTAGAGACTAGATAGCAATATTGAATCATTGGAAACATTTAGATAATGCAAAATAGAGATTGAAATTACTCTAAGCAGCCAGACAAAAATGGGTGAGAACTGTCCAAGTTCAGATGCTGTATTCCTTCCTCCAGATGCTCTGACCCTAATATGTTTAGTCATTTCAGTGACAAGCGAGAGCCGATCAAGAGCAGCTTCATCGATACCACCCATCTGGATTAAATGAAGAAAAAGCGTATCTGTTAGAAAACTATTATATAACGGGAAAAACTATAATTCACTAAGTCAGTTGTCCTAATGTAAAAACAGAAAAAACTAAACAATATACTGAGTGAAAATCTACTACAGCAGCATAATATCATCAACCTGATTGTAAATGAACATGCTTGATAGGAGGACTGCCAATGAAAATATTTGAGCGCTATAAGTTCCCTGTTGAAAAAAAAGGATCAAATCATTCAAAAAAAGGATTGAACTATTGAAGAATTATGGAGCGTTTGTGATATATGAAGTGCCAGGTCATCAAATAAAGATGCAGAAAAATAATAAAGAAGGATATGATGTGTAATATGCTTAATCTCAAATGGAGTAAACACACACACACACACACACCTAAAAAGAAAAGAAACTATGTTTCAAATGGAATTCTAACTAGGGAAAAATTAAAAGAAGCTTGAACTAAGAAATAGCATATCCTAATGTTCTTAAAATACTACGCTAGCTACCCAACACTCATTATGGCAAAATATGACAAGATGAGAATAATTCAGTAAACTACAAATGCAGAAGAAATTTCCACTGTTCGAAAAAAATTAGGGATGAATCTTACTGTTTGATCATATGCATCGATTCCTTCAGTGTCAATCAGCAAAAGGTTATACTCTGTTCCATCAAGAGCAGTTCGCTTTAAAGGTGCACTCCACAACCAAAGACCTTTGGTACACGGACGATGAGTTGATGCCACTTGAAATCCACTACTTCTCCCAAGAAGCTAAATCCAAGCAAGAAACTGTTAATCACATGTATTACTATATGTCTATATATCTTCCTAATAGAGAAGTTTAAGAAGCATTAAGCAGTGCTGATTGGAGAAGAACTTAATCAATCGGGTTCCGTCATTGACTTTGGACAAACAGATTTTTACCATAATTTCATCATTAAACGACCTTTCCCCTTTGAAACGTCTTCTAAAATAAAAAACCACCCAAAAAAATCCTAAGCCGTGGTGAAGGTGGGAGCAGGAGGAAAGAGCTTCATAGAGAAAGGCTCTATACACCCCCAGTGTACACACTAAATCTGGCAACCCCCAAACTTTACTTCCTAGTATGATACATTGGGTATGTTTGGCTTGGTTCCCATCATCGGCTTAGTCTATTACTCCCTCCATCCCAAAATAAACTTCTCACTTTGAACAACATGTAAAATTCTATCTTTCTTTAAAATTACTTTATTTGTAAATTGGTATAGAAATAAAAATACAAATTACATAATTCAAAACTACATCAAAAGTTCTATAAAACATGATGCAACAACATAATTTTATTTTATTAAATAATCAATGAAAATATACAACTAAACAAAAGTTATCGGGAAGCTGAAATAGTAATTGAGAACTTTAATTTGGCACGGATGGAGTATATCCATAGTTGTGAAAAGCTTGCCTTAGGCGCGATGCGCGCGAGGCATAGGGCTCCGCGCATCAGACAGTGTGATGCAGGCGATGTACAGGAGGCGTGCACATAACCGTGCATCATTGCATTTGTCGATGCGATCTGATGCGCTATAAGGCGCGCATCGCGAACCCAGAGTTTTTTATTTTATTTTATTTTATTACGTTAAGACTAGGGTTGACTGCCGAACTCACTTTTCACCATTCAACTTTGTGTCTCTCTCCTTCTGCTTCTTGGACTTCGGCGACTTGCGAGTCTTCCACCCTTTAACGATTGTGTTTCTTCTCTTTCAGGTTAGTCGCTTGACTTGCTTCTTACTTTTCATTTTTTTTCTCTTTTTTAAATCGATCTCAGTTTTTTTAATTGCTGGGGCTTCTCTTTTTTCTTCTCCTGGCACTACTGCACTAGTAGCTTCTCAGATATTATTTTTGTTTCTTTAGCCCGCTTCACTTTTTTGATTCTACAACTGTATTCGATGTGGTTTTTCATACATTAAAAGTGCTCTAATGTTAGAATATAACTTTTCAGTAATAGTACTAATGATATCCTTCCCTACATGCATTTTGTTTATGAGATCATCAGTAATACTAAATATATCCACCTCTACATATGTTTAGGTTTATGAGAAAAATCTGCAAGCGACCCGCACATGGAAGGTATTCGAATGATGTAATCACTGATTCACATCCCTTTATTACTGAGCTATAGGCTTGAAAAGTATAAAATGGAACTCATTGCCTTGTACTTACATCTATCCAAAGGGAGCCAAAAATCTAGTTTCACAAACTAGTTGTCCCGAATAAAAGGAGTCTGCTTTGACAATATACTATTTAGCCTTCTTTGAAGATGTCATTTTCCAAACAAAATAGTTCCAATTAGCTTTAATATGATAAGTTTAGTTAAACCAACAGATATGTAATGATGTTGTACAGCTTATAAGAATTGTATCACACTGAAACTTAAAACTAAGGTCATGGTGAAACATGACTACTTTGTGGGATGGGTGTCTAAATTAGTTTACGCTACATACATACATCTAGCACAATAATGAAATGACCTCTAGCATTTCATAATGACATGTTTCAACTTTCTTTGAACCAAAATGCAGGCAGTTGCTAAGCATTCTTAACGGAATGAGAATGCAGATACCCTGTACTCTCAAATGGGAGATGGATCCCAAGGACACTGAAACTCTCCTGATATAGAAGAAATAGAGGGCATGATATGCCTAAAGAATGTCTTGGTAATCATCACCAATTGATTATAGAAATAATTTTTTGGTATTTATCACCAATGTATTGCAGAAACAAGCCAAACATTTTTACACTGATATATAGCCTCCATGAGGCATCCATAGTTAGCAACACAATTTAATATGTTTATTATCAGCACCAACTTTTCAGGGCTCATCTCATTTTCCAAAAACCTAATCATGAATTTTCTAATTCTAAAGGGATTGTAAAGATAGATTTTTCCTCAACCGCTAATGGTGAAAGTTCTAATTCCTGATTAACACTCTTACATCATAAAAAGAGAGTTGTGTCTCAAAAACTTCTTCTCACAAAGCAAGATCTATTTCACCAAACCAAGGTGTTTTTTCATGGAATTTTTCAAAAACTGTTAGTGACAAGTTAAATATGACAAATTTATTCAAACAAATAGATAAGCTTCAAATATAAGCATGACGAAAAGTCCCACAGTCTCTCGGAACGGCTCGAATACGAACTTCTTCACTTCCAGTAGAGTCATTAAAAAAACGTGCATCACTCCCTCCAAGTCATTGTTCCAATTGGGACCACGAAACCTCTTATTAAACCCTAATTCACCCATGAACATGAGATACAAATTGACACATTTAACTTAGGAACTAAGTGATCCACAAATGAGGAAGTAAAACCCTAGATTTCATAGAATGGAGCAAATGATTCAAAATCAACCTCAAACTATCAAACTCTACCTGATTTAGTATGTAGCTCTTGCCTTGCCGGGCGCGCCCACAGACGGAGACAACCCCAACGGGCTCTTTAACCAGCTGGAGCACAGAAAGGGCCTCCCGATCAATCTGAAATTTTCCTTTCTCGTCGCAATACACAAACCGAATAGGCCTGGCCGGTCCTGCCGCAGTGTTGACGGAGGGTTGCGGATACGGCGGCAACGGTGAATTCGACGGAGATGCCGACTGCGGCGATTCCACAGCGGTCGGTGACCGTCCGAAAAACCTCATCATGGTGTAGCGAAGAGTTGGGATTTGGGAAAGTAGGGAGGTTTTACCGTTTTACCAAGTGATTTTTGAAAAATGACGGTGGAAAATCAACTGTATATAGCCTCACTGTGGAAGAAATTCGTAGCAGAAGGTTTAGCTTAAGACTGGTGTTCTTCCGAACGCTTTCAACAAGATATCGGAAGAAAGATTGAAAGAAAAAGGTAGGGGTAGGGGAAAAAACGAACTATAGTGGTACTACATGCAATTGTAATAGTATCAAACCATTATAGTGTTTTAAAAATAGAAATAATTTGAGAAATTCGATATAAGGTCATCACTTCGTTTTATTTATTTATTCTCTACCTATGAAATATCAATAATTTAGTCTATAATTATTATATTATTTTTCACAAATGATCCTTGATTAATATTTTTATTAAAAATGTGGATAAAATTGTAAATTCGCCCACACACTCTCTCCGCAGCTTCCTCCCTCCTCTCACACTCCTTTCTCAAAACCTGTCGCAGAGTTCGAAGCTTTCTACCCAAAACTGAAATCATCACTCCTCTCTCAATTGTTTGTCTTCCTGATCGAATCCAAAATCGAAACCAGTAACATTCATGGATGAGTTTTAAGATTTGTTTTCTTTGCAATTTTCTGAGACTAACCCATAAAACTCATTCATGAAGGTTATTGGTTTCAATTTTGGTATCCACCAGGAAGATGAATTGATAGAGGAGTAATCGTTTTTTGTTTTGGATTTAGAGTTTCAAACTCAGCGATGGGTTTGGAAATGAGTAATAGAGGAGGGAGGAGCTTAATTGATGAGAGAGATGTGTGTGAATATATAATTTTATCCATATTCTTAACGAAAATATTAACAAAGGATTATTTGTGGAAATCAATATAATAATTAGAGACTAAATTATTGATATTTGATATGTAAGGACTAAATATATCAACTCATTTATAGTGTTTTAAAATAGAATTAATTTTTAAAAATAAGAGTAAACATATAGAAAGTATCAAAATGGAAAATTCATATTTTTATCCTCAAAATAGAAGGTTGAACGGTGGTTGTGTAGCACTATATATGATATTTCACAACACTTTTTGGTAATGTATATGAATTTTAACTTTTATTTTGAGAATAAAAACATAAAATCTTTATTTTGGTTCATTTTTAATATTTTACTCCTACTTTAATTTTTTTTCCTTAATTTTTTTAATTCGGAAGCAAAACTAAACCAATGTTATATCAAACAAGACAAGACTGTGACACAAAAATTGAAAACTGATTATTACAAATTGAACAATTTAAATCTATCTACATAGTATATCAAATATTTATTATTTATCTACTTCATCTTACCATATATGGAATGAATTGTATTCTATTATTCTTTTTTTAATATTCTTTCATTATTATTTTTATTATATTTATTACTATTACGATCATTATTTTCTTCGAAAATATTAGTAGTTCAATATTGTATGAACTGAAAAAAGAATCTATTTTTTTCAAATTTGGACTCATTATCTTTTATTCTTTATGTTTACGATCCTCTTTACTTTTTTGATAAAGTTGTGCTTTTTTAAAAAAATTATTCATTTGTTTTAATATTATTTGGGTAATGTTTGTTTTTTTACACGGTGATGGATTCTAAGAATGGGGTAGTACAAAAGATGAAGACAAAACTTGTAATACGTATTTTGTGAACTCAAAATTCGATCTCCTCAGCCTTGGGTGGAGGGCCTTGTGTATACAACAAGACCATGGGCTGGTACTTGGATATTCTAAGTCAAGGAGACTCATGGGCCTCTTTAATTACATTTATCTCATTCTATGATACATCATTTTTCTAATGACGCGTATCTTGTTGACCATGCTTGGGACACGTCGCCCTCTTGTGACGTTGGACTTATGACTGTTGGGCCCGCACAGCCTCCCAGGAGTTGACTTCTTGGTCCAACATAGTGCGCCGTGGGTGTAAGGCTCCGAGTGTGCCATGATGGCCGACTATGCCACAAAGTCGAGGCCGATCGTGAAGTGTGGGTCCGACGTTGCTGACGCTCTCTCTGGCAGAGGGGGCCTTTATAGGCTGAGTGCGACATATACAACCCAGACGAGCCCAACCCTATAGGCCCATGGGGGTGAGCCCGTATCTCTATTATCACACAGTTTGAGCATGTGTATGGTATTGTACCATCCATTTCATAAATGAAATGATAACGAATGGTTTTAGGGTTCATCCCGTACCAATAAAGCACTATTTAAATAAAAACAGTCCGTGACAAGTTCGGGTAATATCATGGATGACGTCCACGCCTAAAAAAGAGAGAGATATCTTACAAAAATGATTTTCACTCCCACACTTAAACTTCAACTTTTCCAAAATTTGCATCATCCCTATTAGAGTATGGTATTGTACCATCCATTTCATAAATGGAATGATAAGGAATGGTTTTAGGGCTCATCCTGTACCAATACCGAACTATTTAAATAAGAATAGTCCGTGACAAGTTCGGGTAATATCATGGATCACGTCCACCCCTAAAAAAGAGAGAATGTCTTACAAAAATGATTTTCACTCCCAAACTTAAACTTTTTCAAAATTTGCATCATCCCTATTAGAGGGTGTTTGGGTCAGGGAAAATAGGAAGAGGAGGTAGGGAGGTAATTTAAAAGAAATTAGAGAATTTTTCTTTGTCCATTTATGGACTAAAAGGTTGTTTTTTTTTTGTTCGAAATTTTTGAATTAGGTATTGGAAGTAACTAACAGGCGTGGAAGAAATTAGCAGAATTGAAAAAATTAGAAAAAGTTAAAAAAATTGAAAGAAACAAGGAAAGACTGAAAAAAAAAATTGTTTTATATTGCATCTATCCCATAAAAAAATTACCTTAACGCTATGTTTAGGTCAAAGAATTTGAAAGAAAAAAACATAATGCATTTTCCACACCAAAATGAGAAAAATTTTATTTTCTTCTATTCGTACATTTTGTCTTCTACCAAGAAGTATTTTTTTTCTTTCCATTTTTTTTCTATTTTCTTTAACCAAACAAAAAAACCGATTAGAAATGCCATTCACAAACAGGATACTCACAAACTTCACAAACTTACTATTTATGGTTTAGATTTTCATTTTAAAATTATTTTAGACTATTTAATTTTATTTATTGAAGTTTACAATTAGTAAGTTTGTAAAGTTTGTAACCATTTTGTTTGTGAACCAAGCATTTTCCATTTATGTTTCTCAAAGGAAACACAGTTAAATATCATATTTCATATAGTGAAGAAGTTTTCTGGAGAGAGAGGGTAGCAATTAGATTAACAACTAGCAAGTTGCAATGTGTATCTAAAAAAATTAACAAATAGTTAGATTTTTTACAAGATTAATTCATTAAATCAACATCAAACAAATCTACAAGAGAAAAGGAGGTGAAACATGTTTAGAAACATCTTTTGAAGCTTTGTTGAATGCTAAAAAATACGAAGTACTGCACTAAAATATTGTATTCAAATTTCAAAATGCTAATCATTTAAACTTTTTTTATTTAAAAATAACATCTTTTTTAATTCAAAATACCAAGATACGCAGTACCATTACCAAACACATTTATTGGCATTTTGACCGGACAAAATTCTATTTTAGTTCAAAATGCCCAAAAGAACCGATTAGAAATGCCATTTGTCACAGTAAACAAACCATAGGGGAGTACAAGGTAATCTTACTACATTGATGTAATTGTACATATTCTTCAATTAAGTCATGTTATACTAAGGTAATCTACGAGTAAAAAGACGCATAAACCATGAAGACTTGCAATAGCCCATAACAATAAACAAAAATAAATCACACCTCGCTAGCAAGGCAAGCAAATATTATGATTTTACAGGCAACACAAATCTTAAATTAAAACACTTGCCTTTTTTTTCCAACAAAACCTCTAGTCCGTACATCTTCTTGCTCTCATTCATTCATTGATCCACTTCTTAGAGTGCAATATCGAGAAGAACTTCCCTAGAGGCATAAGGGTCACTTACCCTGGGAAAACTGCTTCCCATTACATTGGACATCACAGTTTCGCCCCTTGAGGATGGACCGCTTTCTTTATTAGTCATCGGGTGGGAATTTCTAGCCTCGGATAATATGGGGAAGCCGAATACCGTGCAGGATGATTGAGGCCCAAGAAGGTCCGAGAATCCAGATTGGTTCTGAAACATTAGGACAGAGGGTGGTGATGAAGACACTTGATGAAGGAATGGAGTGGATGGATGGGGTGTTTGGCTGTGGTTGTGATGATGGTTTGGGATTGATGGTGGTGTAGACCATCTCGGGTAAGTTTCTTGACCTTGAAAGACCTTATTGAACCGGGAAGGCTCAGCAAAGCCGCCAAAGCTTTCGTGTGCTGGTTCGCTGAGTAGAGCTCTAATGTTAATTCTACTTCTTGTGGAAATCTCAGAATTGTCATAGCCAGGAATGTTATTTGCAGCAAAAATTTCTTGACCTTGCAAGACCGGGAATCTACAAGGGTTCCCAATGTCCAATACAGCTCTCCCATCTGCAACAAGTGTATAAAATCTTAAATGTATGTGAAGATATTGATAGAACCCTCCATCCAAACAGGCCTTACAGGTTACAGGAATAGTAACAACCTCCACAAACTGCAAAATCTTCCCCCAGAGTTGGCAATCCAATCCTCGGGCGCTTTGCAGCAGCGGGTACAACCATGTTGATAGATCCAGGAACTGTTCCAGCGGGCTCAATTTCCCATGGAGAAACCCTGTTATGTCTAGTGTCATCTGGATCGTCCCACCTTACCTGAAGATCATGGGACACACTGAGTTCCATAGCAGATATTCAAGGCAGAGAATCAAAGATATTTGACACATAATCCCTGCACACATTATCATCTCAAATAGAAAAGAAGATCGAGAAGGTATGACTACGAGTCAAGTAGTCAACAGCTTCTCATTAAACTTTCTCTTTATGCAAATTTAAATGGTATTAATGTCATGATTTAAATTATGAGCAAGTCGAATATTCGGTGCTATGACAAACTGCATACCAATAGGCTCCTCCATTTTGAACCAGGCCAACGAACAGGGTCCACATCACCTGTCCCAATTACAAGCCCAGTGTATCTGCCATAATTGCAAGAATCAAATACTGGGATTACATGATTTTGAGAGATGGTGGGCCAAAAAAACAAACCAACCTTCTTTCGGCTGTATCTTCAGTTTCAAAGTGCAACTTAAATCTCAATCCAGGTGTAAAAGAATGTGAAAGGCTACCACAGAATTTGTTGTAAGGCACTACGAACTTTGATAGGCTGTCTCTGTAAATGCACATGTTACCAGATAGAGATGAATGCAACAAGACTGAGGTAGAGAGTTAATTATGAACAGCACACATAAATGAGTCTCCATGATGGACTTTCATTGGTGGATAGTGAATATTTGGGAAAAGCTAAACTATAAGTTGTTAGTTACATTGGGCGGTGGTGATTGACAAGTGATGAATTTGTAGGTGCAAGAGTTGTGAAAGATCATAATACAATCTGAAAAAATAAGCATCAATGAAATGTTCATTTCACACCAGCCTTATAATAAGTTGTCTAAATTGGGACCATCTCTATGAATTATGATACTCCATTTAACTTAACTCTATTAGTTAAATGCACTCAGTGGCAGGTAGAGCAAGTAATGCCAAGTTGACTCACTGCTGAGTTGTGTTAAAATTGGAGAATATGGCTCATTTGATATATGAGATAAATGGCTTTTGGAAGCAATCAGTAAGAACAGGAAGACATTTTACTCCATATTTAATTCTAAAAAAAGTTGAGCCCATTAAGTTTAAGTCATAAATAAATGCAGTATGCATTGAGTCTAGGCACAAAAATCAAACAGATGAAATAATTCCCACAACTGAAAATAATTACTAGTTCTTGTACTGTAACTCGTAGGACAAGAACTTATAAGAAAATTGAAAAAGAGTGCAAAACAGGAACATGGAAGAGATGACATTGAGCAAGAAATAGCTGTATTACATCTACAGGCTTGACTTTTAATGAGATAGTAGAATGAAGGTTATGCTCGTGACTTGGTTAAATTTTTTAACAAGTTTAACAAAGTTCAAAATGTATAAAAACTGCTCAAAGAATTGAAAACCACACATGCCTCTTCAATTTGTAATGTTATGAGATGCTAACAGAAACTGTACAAGGTCTTCAATAACATGTTTGCAAACCTAATCAAGTTATTCAGAGGTGAGGTTATCCAAAGAATTGCAGTAGCATATAGTGTAGAGAAGAATTTGTCTAATACCTAGGGTTGTAGCAGACACTAAAAATGCCTCTGGTAGATATTGCATTAACCACATCCAAAATTCCACTGACATTCAGCTGTTGACTAAACGGGCCTGAAGGGGTAGAAGGGGAACCAAATTTAGCTTGAGCTGATCTTCTAATTCCCAGCCTAAGTTCTCCATCCCCGCTCCTGCACATATATATTGGAACGTAAGTGTGAAGTAACAATTACATGAGAGCTTTCGAGGATCTGAAGTTTTACTTTAGGAAAAGCACCGCATCTCCTGAAACCAGTTTCTTGTTATTGACAAATGCACTCCAACCAGTGGTAAGCAAATGCCTTCGTGGCTGACCTGGTCAAGCAAAAACTTGCTCTATAACCAGAAAGTTATTCAATGGGAAAATTGCATGATAATTGATAGCAGATTAATAGCTAGATAATCATAACCCCTTCTCCGTGAATTTATCCGTAGAGTATCAATACAAGAAAGTTAATTTATACCCCTGTAAATGTGACGAAATTTCCACGCCATCCCATGAAGATCTCTTGCTACTACCTCTTGTGAGGGTCTCTGTTGTTTATAATCCTACCCACAGCAGGTTGAAGAAAATTATCTTAGAAAATTATACAAAACCAAAGGAAACATGCATATAATAATGAAACTGGAATAGACTCTTATTTACTCTACCAGAGGAGGAAAGCAATCTTCTGCAGCCCGGCGAGGGACAGAGAAACCACCATGGGTGCTGGTATCAGAAGCAGTGAGAGTCTTGCAGAACATATGCCGTGTGCTTGATTTAACATCGCCTTCGGAATCATCTTCTTTGTTATCTACTTCAACCTCACCATTCTTCCACTTCTGCTCAATCTGGGAAAAAGGTGGAGCAAATTTGTTGCCAAAAATTATAGAACAATTCACAAAATGATAAATGTCTCACATCTAGCTGAGGAGAGAGACAAGAAAAAAGACAAACAAAAAGGCAATTCATGATATAGCATTAGCAGAAATGCAAAGCCTTTTGGGAGGAATCTCTCATACCTATATTCCCAAACACGGATTTAAAAAAAAGCCCAAATGTGGTAGAGATTGCCTATTTTAGACATTTAGTCCTAAACTCCTAAAATAGGAGATGGGTCTACTAAAATGTCCATATTAATGTAATCCAAAACGCTGATTTACCTATTTTGACAAAAAGTATTCCTTTAAATTATTGCACCATATTTTACCATAAACTGAGGAAAAATAGAAAGAAAGAAACAAAAAACGAATAGGTAGCTTAGGAATTCAAAAAAAAAAAAAAAATCCGACAACCAGATAAACCACTAGCTCTGTATAGATTATTGAAAAATACCTGATTGTCTGGTACCAGTGACACTTGAGCATAGACCTCATCAGTCTCTACTTCCGCCTACAACCCGACCCACTTTTCTCAATTAATAATTCAATAAAATATTAATGAAATTATTATTGCTACAGAGTGGCATTATTATGAACAAATCAAATAGATTCATCAGCTCCAACAACAAAAAATCTTCAGCCGGAAGTTAGAGAAATTTGCCTCAACCAAAAAATCTTCCGTATAGGCACACCGGGAAGAAAAACTATAAAAATGCTATTGATGGACTAACATGGAGCTTGACGTCGACGATGCGGCAGAAGACATGAGGGGGGAGGTTATAGGCCAGGGCGGGGTAATCGGAGAGATGCTCCAGGTGGCCCTGCGGTAGGTACACGACCGCGCATCCTTTCTTCGGCAGCGAAATCAACGGCCCCGCACAGGCGTGCCAGAGCTCCATACTCACGAGATGCGCCGGCTCCGCCACCGGCGGCGGCGGAGGAGAAGCCTCCGTCAAATCCGAATCATCCCGCGACGACGCCGTCGTGGTAGTCTCCCCGTCGTCTTCATTGCTCACGGTGTTCAGATCGATCAATCCACACATCCTCTCCTCTGCCTCCCTCTGCCTCTAAACCCTACACGATTCAAGCTCAAATTGAAGAAATCCGAAAGCTCCTCCCAGCAGAAAACACATCCACGCGCAGAATAATCAAAAGAACAGAAACCATAAACAATCTAACATCACACACACCTGCATAAAATCTCTCTCTCTCTCTCTAGAGTTCAAACTATTTCTCTCTGGGAAAGTGAAATGGGAGGCTTTCTGCTTGAGGAGGAGCAGATCAAATCAACATCATCGTCACTTTATACGGGCGTCCCCTCCCTCTTTACAGCTTGTGTAGGTACGCAGATTGATGCATACATACAGAATCCTGTATCTATAGGTTGGTGGCCTGCAAATAGCCAGAAAGAAAGAACCAGAGAGAGAGAGAGAGAGAGAGAGAGAGAGAGAGGCGGGAGGCAAGTCTGAGTCGTATGTGCCAATTAGCGAACAGAGGAACAGAGCCTATTCACTTTTCCTTTGTAGATATGCGCTCCGTATTTGTTTTTACCCACGGTATTATTTTTCCTTTTTTTATTTTAATGTTTATTTTTATTTTTAATTAATTGGGAAGGACGTGTTTGGATTTATTAGGATCGGGGTAATTTGGACAAAATGCCTGAATTTGTTGAGATGATAACTGATTTGACTCCATTTCATCTCCCTTCTTAAATTCACATCGTCACATTATTAGAATCTTTTTTTTCTTCCTTAATTACCCCGAATATTTGTTTTACATTGGGACTGGGTAAATGAGCCTTGGAACTATGGGTCACACAATTGAACGGCCTCATTTATAAATGATTAGTCACATACTCGATGGCCCCTTCAGAACCGATGTGACGATCATTAGATCTAATTATACTCCCTTCGTCTGAAAAATTTTTTCCCGTGTTGATTTGACGCACTTATTAAGGAATAGTTAAAAAATGCAAAATTTTCAAAAATGTACATACTATAAACTTTTAAATCTTCTTTTATTATTAAAAAAGTACTAAAAAAATAGATTTGTGATAAAATAGAAGGATATTATTGATATTTATCCTTAAAAAGTATACTAAAAAAGGAAATGAGAAGAATATTTCCGGACGGACCAAAAAGGAAAGTGGGAAGAATATTTTCAGACGGAGGGAGTATTAGATTTTGATAGCAGATTGATCTCAAAGAATAAAGCTGGCAACTCCTTCATTTATACGAGTTAGGAGTCGTGTAAAATTTTGTCTTTGACAATGATTTGGGTGGGCTAGTTCTTTATCGAAATAGGTCAGGTCGGATCTACATATGTAGATAATAGTGGACCCGAACCAGCCTAGTTTTAAATATTCCATCCGTTGCCAAATTATTTTGAACAATGTATAAAATTACATCATTTTTTGAAATTATTTATTCACATATTGGTATAAAAATAAAAAGTACAAATTACATATTTTAAACTTACAAAATATATCAAAAATTTTAAAAATCATGATGTCACAAGAATATTTTATTTTATCAAATGATCAATGTAAGCACACAACTAAACAAAAAATTATAACTAAGAAATTTATTATAATAACTAGGAAATTTATTTGGGACGGGGGAGTAAATTATAGGATACTCAATATTGCATTTTTTTGTATATGGTATATTTAATATGATTTTTATGCAAATGTGTATATATGATAAACAATTTATAGACAATCCAACTTTTTTGAATGTTTTGCCACTTCAATTGATGAATATTCTATATTAGCTGAATATTATATTTTGTTTTCCAAAAATAATCCATTTACGCAAACTAAAATTGGTTTCACAAAACGTCTTATTCTATTTTCATATAAGTTGTTCACTTATATCTAAAATATTTGGAATTCATTATATAGTTGAAAAAAATAAACATTGTAATTTAAAGCTGAAACTTTATTATGACTGCTCTAATTTGAAGCTGAGTACAACCTAATAGAATGTTGATGCCTTTGTTTCGTTCTCGCGATTCTAGGCCTACGTCTGGGCTCCGAGTTCTCATTAGACCGGATACCCTATTGTCTAGGGTATTCATCACTGACCCTCGAGGGTTATCCTCTCAAGATGCCACTTTCGTACCCTTTAATTAATAATTTTATATTATACTAGTATTTTAACTCGTGCAATGCACGAGTAAATGAAATAGTTTTCGACAATATAAAAAATATGATTCTTCTGACTCTCACATATTAATTTGATTCTTCCACCCCTCGGCATACGGCGTACAAAAAGTTCACGTCCCTCTTTATCTCTAAAGATCGGGTGACCCAGCCATCCAATTGCTATTCCATCTCCCTTATCCATGGAACCTGCTCTGAATAATCCGCCTTTTGCAGGATTATTTCCGATATAATCATAAAAAGCTAACTTTTCCGGAATTTTAGACCAGGCTTCCGATAAACTTTGTTTGTCGGCTAATCCCACACTAATTCTGCGATATATTTCTTGTTGGAAATATCCCTGATCCCATTGATAACGGGTAGGCCCAAACAATTCAATTGGAGTAGTTGCTGAACCATACCACATAGTTCCGGCAGTCACAAAAGCTGCAAAAAAGACAGCGGCGATACTANACTTTGATATTATTAAGGAATTAAATACTTCGTATAATATAATTATGATACTATTTATCCTTCTGTTCTGCAAAAAAATCCACATTTTCACGTTTACTTGCCTAGTGCATGTCTCATAGATTCTCAGTAAAATACCATCTATTTTATTAGATGAATTAAAATCCACAGTTATTAGGTAGTAGCTTCATTTAAATTAGAACACTATAAATTTTCAAGTATTGATATATTTTTCATAATAGCATCTTGGATACATAAAAGGCAGGTTCATGCATGATTATGAAAATTTCAACCCTTTTGAAACTCTATTAATTAATAAGCATTCTCACGCTTATTGTACCAATGAAAGTAAAGATTTTTAATGTGTTTTGTATATAATAATGTAAAATGTGAGTTGTGTTGCGCGTGGTGGGTAAATACAAATTAAATGAGTATTGAACAAATTTTAGTACACTAAAGTAATTGAAATACTTGAAATGAGCTATTCCTTGATATATATATAATGATAATAAAGATGCTATCTGATATTGATTTTGCCCACTGTGAATAAATTGCGGATCGCGATCATTGTTGAGAGATATTTTAACGTACTATTTTTTAATAGATGTAAACAAAAATATACTATTGTAGTTTCTTATGTTTTTCATAAAAATGTGAACTTCTTATATCTATTATGTTAAACATAAGCTTATTCCTTAACTTGAGTGGGTGAAACAATAACAAAGATGGAAAAAATACTTAATAATTATAAATTAAAAAATCAAAATATCTAAACAATAATAATAAATAATTAAAAAAATAAAAGTATTAAATAATAACAAAATGATAAAAAATGTAAATTAAAATTGAAAAAATAATTAATAAGTAAGTAAATAAATAAAAATAATTAAAATAGAGAGTAATAAAAATTAAAATATACTCCGTAATTATAAATTAAAATACAAAAATGTCACATTAATAATTATAATTATAATAATAAAAATAATTAAATAAATAAAAAATAAAAAATAATAAAAATGATTTATAAATTACAAACGAAGGAGTAAAAAATAATTAAATAAATAATTAAATAAATAATAACTAAACAAATCAATAAATAAAAAATGAGAACAATAATAATAGTAATAAAAACATTGATAATATTATTTATAAAATAATAAAAATAATAATAGTGATTATATTAATTATTATTATTATTATTATTATAACAACAACAACAACAATAATAATAATAATAGTAATAGTAATGGTAATAGTAATAACAATAGTAAAGTAGATAGTAGATAACTAAATGATATTTTAAAACATACTTGAAATAAATAATAAATAATAAAAATGTAAAATAATGATTATAAATATAAAAATTTAAATAATATAAATATTTTCCTTCCCATCTTTAAACCAAACAATGTGTAGGAAAGCCCTCTCATTCCTCCCATGTTTTCCTTCTCATCCCATCTCTCCTAACCAAACACGCCATTAAAGAAAATTATATTAGAAAATGAATAACATAAATAAAAAAGAAAATATATCGGAAAAACTAAAATAGGAGGATAAAAATATGTCTGTCAAGGAACCAACTCAATCAAAAGCTCAAGCTTGTGGTTGTGGGCTCAGGAATGATTGTTATATATTCTAACACGCCCCCTCACGTGCAGGCGTGACCTCTTTGAGCCTTGCACGTGAAATCTTATTTTTTTTTAAAACTGGGTGGCGGTGTGTTTCGAACTCGTGACCTCTTGGTCATCAAGGCTCTGATACCATGTCAAGGAACCAACTCAACCAAAAGCTCAAGCTTGTGGTTGTGGGCCCAGGAATGATTGTTATATATTCTAACAATGTCACTCCTATTTTTGGAAAAAGACCTATGTTTTATTCTTATTTTAGGTGATTTTTGGATAATAACTACAAGTTTATTACTCCAATATCCTTTCAATGAGTTAATTTTTTCATAAAAGCTACGGAGTAATAAAATACTAGTTGTACTTATGTTGGATTGTTGGAAGAAGAAATAACAAACCGCACCCTTTTTTTCAAAACAAAACATAATAAAGGAAACGCAACCCCCTTTTTAGAGCCTTAACCAATACGAAAGTGTAGAAGTTATTCTTAATCTTAAATAAGGGTACAAATTTGGTCCATTTCGATCATAGTAAAAGAATCTTGTTCTTATGTGTCACCTAGCTATTCTTTTTTAGATATTTTTATTTGTTTGTCTCGTACAAAGATTTAACTTTTTATTAATTAAAGATTTGTGTGACTTATACTCTGTATTTCTTGTTTTATTGTCTCTCATTTCCATCATTTTTTTAATTATACAGTTTTACATTTTTAATAATAGTACACATTTCATAATAAAATCTTTTGGTGTGTGAGTAAAAGAGACCTAAGCTGTAGATGGACTCCCACTTGCCTCATCTTTTGTGCTAACTCTTTTGTCTACCTAAACATGGTGTTTTGATAGCAATGTTTTATGGGCACCATTTATGTTCATTCACATTATTGCTTTCATGAGTTATGCAATCACATGTGACTATATCACCCAAAAATTATCCTAGATATACCTATCCTAATATGCACAAACAAATTTTCACTTTTTTTCTTTTCTAAATAAACTTTCTAACTTCATTTATTTTTTATAAAATGAAGAAATATATAATTCATAATATTTTTATTTTTTTCTAAACAAATTCCATTCACACACTATTTTATATTTTACATCCTTTAATTTGTCCCAATATATTTATCTAATTTTACATCTTGAAATCAAATGGGGAAAACTTTCATTGCCAATTAATAAAAAATATTGCATTGTAAATTAATAAAATATGGTTTGGATTATGCATAGACAT